TTTGCCAGGCTCATATATACTAAAAAAAGAGGGCATCTAGATCACACTCGAGCTGGTGGGCAAATTCATGATCCTTTGAGAAACTGCAGCGCGCATGCTCCCAGCATCACGTGACTTCCGCTGTCATAGCAATACAGTATGAAATTAAATAATAGAAACAATTATTCTTGTATTGTGTTTTCTATTTCATATCAAGAATTATATAAAATCTTCTCCTAAGCTATTAATAATTTTATATTACGAATATCTTGGTTTAAGGAAGTATAATATATTTGTACTATAGCTCCAACATACATGTATAAGAAGTTTAATATTTGAAGTTTTTGCTTTGTTTGAAGTAAGTTATCCTTTTTTGCTTTTTATCATGTCTACAAAGAAAATTTTCCAAATGAATGAATATGTGTATTTAATACTATCAATTAATTAATACAGTAGCTGAAGATGGAATGTGAATATTCCGAAACATCTGACGAATAAACGTACATTATCGAAAATAAAGTGTAGAATGTTTGCTATTACCGTCGTTCTACTGATTATTATCAAAGAAAATGTTATTATGAAACAAGTAAAAGTAAATAAAGTATCTACATGGTTTAATAACTAATTTACTTACAAACTCTTAAAATGTTTTTTAAACTGATATTAGGTTTCTAAGTTTTACTTCTTTCACGCTTACCGTCTGCAACCACATAATATAGACTGCAACCCTTCAGCATTCAGTCCTTCACACATTGCCATGTTCAAAGTTTCCAAGTTCGTGTTCAAACCAATGTGACTACAAAGACATAATTGATAATGTATTAAAATATTTATGTTTGAAACTTTATGAATATTAAGTTATTGTATAGCTTATGAGATTAGAAGAAATAGAACTAAAGAAACAATTAACATTCTTGAATGTTATAAATCCTTAAATTATTGTTTAAAAGTTTAACAACAATGCCATTTTACTGTGAAAAAGGTATTTTACTACAATTGATGCTTTAATACATAGAAAACAAGTATCAAAAACTAGCAAATAGCTATGACAATTTATAGTTAAATGTATTAATATTACAGATATAATTATTTAAGACCAATTCATCTTCCTTCTAATGTCACTGTTCAAGTTTCCTGTCACCAACAAATGTCACTATTTAAGTTTAACCCTATAACTCTGATACCATTTTTAAATTTCTTTCTGCACATGTTGCAAAATGTTACTGAGTTATATTCAAAATTTAATTAAACTACTTTACTATCAATGTATTTTAATTTTAACCCTATAACCCCCGGTACCATCTTTAAATCTCTTTCTGTGCATGTCACAAAATGTTAGTTATCTTCAAAATTTAATTCAACCACTTTACTTTCAATGTATTTTAATGAAATTAGCATTATCAAGTATGTTTTGATTCAAAGTCTTATATTATTCAAGTTTTTATTCTTTTACTTCAAAAGAAACTGCTAAAACAATAATTAAAAATTTCACATTTGCTCTCACTTGAAGTGCAAGTGGCTATAGCAACTGAACTTTAGACTTTGTTATACAAGAAACGACTATGATTAAAAACGTCTTTCTTGTTTGTAATAAACTACATGTATGTACAGTTCATTTACCAGTAACTTCATACACATTCCTAGAACTGGTCTCGAATGGAAATTGTTATAGACATTACTAAGTTCAAGCTATGCCACGTCCATTTGCAAAGTAAAAGCTGGGTTGCTTAGTGACTGTTTTAAGTTGAATGGCATGCTTATAACCAATAAAGAGCAAATTTCGTTTGGCAATTTTCTCTCGCCTTATATGCATTAGTTTGATAGACAGTTAGATTGCACTTAGGTTTTACTTGTATATTTTAAGTTAATTATGTATTATTAGTGTTTAAGATATATATTTGAAAGGTTTAATTATTTTAAAAATTCTATAATTTAAATTGCTAAAACAACTTTGAGAAACTTACAAGTGCAAGAAATATTATGCCGAAGGGGCACTTGTTGGTGTGTCCACATAAATAATCAAAGATAAAGCACAGGAGAGGAAAATAAAACATTAAAATAAACTATAAGTGAAAAGATAAAGCTATGGCATGTTAATCAAAGATATTATTAGAATAATCAACAAAGAGTTAAAAGGTATGTACATATTTCTATTTCATATATTTAAACATTTTATTGCACTGTACATTGATGGTAACAGCTAGAGTTAGTGATGTTGCAGAGAAAATGGTAAATAAAATGTAAAAATTTACCTTAAAAACTTTTGATATTCATTTAGGAGGTTCTACAGATTATGCAAGTGAAATATGAAAACTGTAAGGTAAAAATTAGTAATTTTATACTTAACATGAAAATCACTTTGCAGGTGAACTATTCAGAGTCCAAGTGCAAGTAACTATCTTAAATAACAAATTTTTATTTAAAAAAGTAGAAAAAAATCAAACTTAAATATTTTATTTTTTTGAAACTAGATACTTTTAAGAACTTTCTTGTCAAATTTCACCCACTAGTTTTATCTTTGTAATGAAATTTTATGAGAGTGATGTTACCTATTCTCTGATAGAGTAGTCAGGAGTCATAGGGTTAATGTCATGAACAGACATAACTACTTGAGAAAAGTTTGCTTTCACAACAGACATCACTGCTAAAGATAAGTTACTGTGACAAGATGTTACTATTTAAAATTAAATTCACAAGTTTACCAACATTAACAAACATCAGCATTTATGTAAGCTTTCTAGAACATTGATTAATAACAAGTTTCAGCAAGCTACTCACCAACAAATGTCACTGTTCACTCGGCAATGTTCCAGGCTAAGTTTTCTTAACTGTTGACACACTGACAAAATCTCATTCAGACCCTCCAAGGAAATTGTGACCATGCTAAGATCTAGATACTGAAGTTTACTGTACCTGAAATTAAAGCAATGATGTTAGATCTGAAAGAGCTTGAATATTTATTTCACCATAAAAACAGCAGCATCTAACGATAAGGACTTATACCATTTGTTATGCAAGCATTATCTAATTCTTTGGTATGTAGCACAATAGAGTATCAATAGTTTTTATTATTTCCCTAAACCATACCTTATTTATTAATAAACCATTGTTTATCAAATAATGACTTTTCTAAAACCATTAAATTATTTAAAAGTTATAACTTTCTTTATATTTATATGACTGCCCTTTATTGATACTGGCTAACTAGGCTCACTATTCAGAATTACCTACTCTGGTATTTTCTTGTGATAGATTAACTCATCAGTTTCTTATGACTGGTTAATTAGTTTGACAAATATCAAATAAATGTATTTTGCTACTGATTTGTGAGTGGTTAACTTGCTTATTACCTATTTAAGACAGGCTAATTAACCTGTTACTTTTAGTGATTAAAAATTGGTTAACCTACCTGCTACTACTTTATTTATGATTGCTTAAATAACCTATTATCTGACTGGTTTCTAAACTATCTGTTCATTTTTAAAAACCTGATTAAATTGCCTGCTTTTGATTTAAGATAGGTTAACAAATTTTTTTTACTAACAGGTTGACTGATATGTTACTAATTTAGGGTAAGCTGACATTCATATCATTGATCACTTGCTACTTATTCAGAATTATCCGACTTTCTTTATGTATAGTCATTATAAGTAACTTAATTACAAATACTCACCTATAGAAATTATGCCTTTTCTGGATCAATGAAAAACTGTCAAAAACTGGTAGCTTTACCTGTAGGGGTTAGCATATAATAGACTTAACTTTGCAGTTTGTAAAGAAATAGTTGAAGTAGATGATGTTACAAAAACTTTGACAAAAGAAATGTAATATTATAAGTAGTGAAGTTTTATGGCTTTCTTTTTTCTATAAAAAGTAAATACTATGTGATGTTATGAAATAGTAATGTTAGAGTTATTAGCAACAGTATAACAACAATTTACCTAAAGCAAGCACTTGTGGACAAACATTTAGCAGTATCTTTTATCCAACGGATTTGATAGTTATATTGTTTGCTAAATGGTTACCAATGTCTCCATATTGTATTTCCAAAGCATAAAACTTTTCTGTGGCAGTTCATATGTAAAAAATTTATTTCTGAAATACAGCATATACCATAAAAAGTCAAACACTGATGAAGCTTCTGTACATAACCTACACAAGTACATCTCTGACATGGTAAATTGCATGGTAAAATGTTCACACACTCAGGTCATAAAGATGTATTGAGATTGAGCATTTAGAGTTTCGAAGACAGAGATATCTCTTCTATTTAATGACATTGGAAAATAAAAGAATATGTATCAACTTGGGGACACAAGGAACATTCAGAAAGAGACCTACAACAAATCATACCTCAGCCTTAGTAAGCAAAGAGTGGTATCTTGTAACAGGTAGACTCCATGAATACAAAGGTATACATGTCACAGACCATGCAACCAAAAAGAATCACCATCTTAAAATTTGATACAAGTCATGTATACACAAGTTGCTTTCACAACACATTTGTTCAACTATTGTAAACCTCAAGCAGCTGGAAAATGAAATGGGTATTCATGCTATTCCATATGACAACATACTACTCAAGTTTTCAAGTGCAGCACCGATGGATTTCTGTGTGTTCAGACCATTACAACTGGTGCTAGGATACCATCATCTTCATATGCTATACAGCTTATGGAAAGCAGGAAGTAGTGGTATGCTTTCAATATGACAGCCTTACAACAAAGACTTTTTTTCAATGATAATTCTGCTGCAGGGATATTGTCAAGATGCACAGTCAAAGTATGGTGGACATGGTGATATGGATTTAATGGGGTGACAAGGCTACATTTTAATATAACATACTCAACCACTGTAACTTAGCAAAGTATAAGTTTATCCAACATACCTCTGACATACAAAGTCGCATGATGATAACTCCTCTATCAATCACCATTCCAAGCACACCTGGTTGAAGATGTTTCTTGCCAAGATCAACTCTTTTCCATAAACTCTCATCGTAACTAGAAAATCAACTACTTATGTTAATAAAATACATTGATTTACAAAGTTAAAGTATCATTCAACATATAAAAGGTAGAAAAGTTTTTACTTTTTTTTAAAACTTAGCCTTTATATAATAATAGGATATATATTTATAAGCATCATTTTTGAAATTTTTTTAATATTTCTTAAATGTTATCAATAAATAATATTAGAATTTCAAACTTAATGGCTGGCAGCTATTAGAATGGCTAGTACTAAGTTAAACTCTTGAGTGTCTATAAATGGTTGTATGCACTTTAAAACAACTAGTGATTGATTATGTTACTGTTTCTGCTTTTCCATATAAAATAACAATGTTTATAAATAAAATTCAAAGAATGTCAAGATTTGACAACTAAGATCTAAAAATCATATAATTCATGTCAATCTTCAAACTGACTAGAATTTAGAATCAGGTTAAATAATTAATCCATATATATATTAGGTTGTCAAGAAATTAATGTTGCATTTTGCAACACTTTCATTAACCACTCCCAAAAAGCTTACATCATATATAATAGTTAAACAAACTGCCTAAATGTCACTTTAATGTAGCCTATAAAATATGTAAAGTTTAGTACACTCTAATCCCGTATAGTGATGGCACACGACGAGACACACATTCGGCATGTAATGCTGTTTGAATACAAGAAGGGAAACAATGCCTCTGGTTTTAATGTTCATAAGTGTTAACTATGATTCAGCAAATATTGTTCAGGTGACTTTAACCTTAAAAACTGTGATGGTAAGGGTGGACATGTTGGAATTGATATTGATGCTCTGAAGATACTTGTTGAGTCTAACCCAAGGCAACATACTCGTGAAATAGCCCTGAAATTACATATCTCTCACGAAACAATACGTAAACATCTAAGAAATATTGGAAAACTCCATATAAGAAGGTGTTTGGGTGCCTCATGAACTCTTCAATGATCACTTATTTCCAATGTGTGAACGTTGTTTCATCTCTTCTGGCATGTAATGCATGTGAACCATATTTGGATAGAATTGTCACCAGTGATGAAAAATGGATTTTCTATGAGAATGTTAAATGCCAAAAACAATGGCTCAGTCCTAGACTAAAACCACTTCCAGCCCCAAAACCTGGACTCCATCTGCAGAGAATGATGCTTTGCATTTGGTGGGATATCAAAGGAGTAATTCATTTCAAACTCCTCAATTCACAGCAAACTGTCAATGCAGAGATCTATAGTCAGCAACTGGAACATTTAAATCAAAGCCTTCATTAGAAATGCCCTTCACTCGTCAATTGGAAAGGTGTTCTTCTTCTCCACAAGATTGTGGAGTTGGGTTGGAAAGTTCTCCCCCACCCACCATATTCTCCAGATATGGCACCATCACATTTCTATCTTCTTCATTTGCTGCAACACCATCTTAATGGGAAAATGTATGCAAATGTGGAAGGTGTTAAAGAGGACATC